AACAACTGAGGGCCATGCATTTCTGAAAAGGGAGGTAAGGGTTAGGGAGCCACATGGCTCATGGATGCCTATGCCAGGGCCCACGGCCCACTCTGAGGCCATCTTTGGCTCAGTCCCCTTGCATTCTCTAATTTCTGTCAGTCTACAACATAATAAACCAGAGTTTTAGTCAGGACTGCTTTGTTGACTTGTTTGACCTCTCTACTCTAAACTCTAATCCTATTCTCATTTCTAAGTTCCTTCATTTATACACTCCTCCATCTCCCTCAGTATCTTTTATCTCCACCCATTTTATTAAGAAGCCCAGTCCACAGCTGGGCATGGTGGCCCACACCTTTAATCCCAACACTTGGGGGTAGAGAAGGTCACTGATTTTATAATCGTTCAACATACATGTTTTTAAAAATAATTCAGTGGTTTTTTTATTAAATATAATTTGTTTTGCATGTGCATGCATGCAGATGGACATGTCATAGTGTTACTGTGGAGCTCAGGGGACATCTTGAGGGGTTTCATTTCTCCTTCTACCATGAAGGTCCAGCGCCTGGAACTCAGATTGGTGACAGGTACCTTTGATCCCCTGAACCACCTCAAAGGTCATGATTCGAAGAGATTTTTTTTATTATTATTATTTTATGTAATTGTGCTAAAGTTGTGTCAAAAGTAGAAATGACCCTTTCTAAAACTTTTAATGTTTTCCTGGTCAGTGATGAATGGGAAGCTGCTTCCTCATGATGAGCTAATGTAGGCTGACATAACTGTTCGCTGAAGCTGTAATGTTTGGAAGGCTGTGTCTGCTAAATACTTCTTGGCTGTGTGTGTGCAATTTGCCATGAGTTCATTGGGAGGGCTATAGCTTCATTGTCAATGGAAGATCATCTGTGCTGGGTGAAAATATCTTCAGAGAATTTGGGGAACGAGAAAAGCCAGCCATTTAAAAATACTCTTAGCTTCTCTTCTACTCAAACAGCAGAAAGAACAAGTCAGTTTCGTCGAGACCAAGATAAAGACACACTTCTGAGCTCCACAGAGGCAGGAACAGATTTTTGCTCCATTTGAAAAGCCACAGAAGGCTGAGCCCTTAGTTTACTCAACCTGAGGGAACGTGAGGGGGCTCCTCTGTGAAGAGCTAAATTGGGTCTGTAGTCACACATGCATTTGGCAGTGGGACAGGCATGAGGCTGGGGATCTGACAAACTTTAATGCCAAGCGTAGCTCATCTGCTGCGTGAGCATGACGCTTGGCGCCTTCCAACACAGGAGTCTGAAAGGCCAATCACCATTCCCTGGAATGAATAACCCACCCTCAGCCTGGAACTCTCCAAACTGCTGTGGACGCCGAAACAGAGCAAAATTCTTTCTTGTGTTCTCGGTCCAGCTTTTAAAAAATTCTACTGGTTTCTCCCCTCCCCGCCCCGACACGTTTTTTGTTTTGTTTTGTTTTGTTTTTGTTTTTGTTTTTTTGTTTTTGTTTTTGTTTTTGTTTTTGGATAGTGTCTCAAAGAGTACAGTCTGGTCTCAAACCACTGTAGAGGTTAGAATAGCTTTGATCTTGTTGCCTTCCCTTCCCCAGTGCTACAAAAGTCATGTATACACTACACCATCTAGCCCAGAATCTATCACTTTCTGTTAAGGATTCTATAGATGAAAGAAAAATATGTTCCTGAATTTCTGCGGTAGTCAAGACTAAGCAAAAGAACGCAAGTCAGAGCTTAAAAAGAGTAATGTGGAAGAGGCTGGTTCAGCCCGAAGAAAACCCTAAATTCTGAGTTTACAGCCTCACCTTGTCAATGACTCGCTTCACAGCTTAAGATTAAAAGCAGTTAAAAGCCAAGCCAAGAACTAAAGTGAGCTATTTTATCTAAATGAGCAGGCAATGTCTAGTGTTATCTCCAGCTTCAGGACTTTGGGGCCAGTGTGTGTGTATTTCCAGGAAGCTTATCAATTCTGCGTCTGGGGCCCTAGATAATAAGGTTCAATAAATGATGATGCTTTAAATTTCAGGGAAAACAAAAACCACTAAAGGTCCAGTAAGGCACAAAATAGTAAAAGTATTAATAAAACAAAACATTCTGTTCTTTTAACCCACAGCAAATGTAAATGTGTAAAATGTCCTATAAAAACAGACTTCTTTCTGCAGAGAGAGCTAACACACACTGCCCACTAACAACATGTTACACCAATAACTTGGTTGCAGTATCTCCTTAAACTCCCACAGAGCTCATGATCTATTATTACGGTTCCATTTTTGCTGGTGGAAGAAATGAAATCACCCAGGGGATGGGGGTGGGGTGGTGTGGAATAAATCATTTGCAGGAAGCCACACAGGCAAAGTTCCCAACACCTGTGGCAGACTCAGGAGGCCTTGTTCTCAAGTTCGCCACACTAAGCCCAGCATGCTGTGCAGAACTGGGCAGCTTCCTGCTCGTCCAGGCATGACCCACAGAAAGAGCCATGGCTCAGGAAACAGAGGGCTTGTGGCCACCAGTTTCTAGGTGGTGTTATCTAAACATGGTCGTTCATGCCTAAAACCCCAGCACTTGGAAGGCTGAAGCAGGAAGATTGCCAATAGTTTGGGTCAATCTAGGACCTTGCTGGGGTCACAGTGAAACCTTCTCTTAAGTACACCAGACACACTCACACACACGCACGCACACGTACACAAACACACACACACACACACACACATGCATGCAAGCACACACTCAAAGATGTAGGCAATGGATGTCAGGCTCTATTTTGAAAAGTTTGAAGATCGAAATAGACCATGGAGGAGGCAGCATATGAATGGTCAAATGATCCTCTGGACTCCTGACGGATTTTCTTCAATACAGCCTTCAAAATGGAACACACTCCACCTTAGATTTTGGTGAAAGCTAATTATACATGCATTTGTCCAATGCATGATCAAATGTGTCTGTGCCATATGCAAAGGACTTTTAGGAGCTGAGTGTCCTGGGAATTACTCTAAGGAGCAGTGGGAGATGACCAAGGCCTTAGTTATTCCAACTCAAGATGTCCGTTTTTCCTCTCCTCTCTTTTCAAGATGATGCTATGTTCTACGGTACTTGTCTTGTGAAAAACTGAGTTTGCAAGGAACCTTCCTTTTGTCTGGGTAAAAAAATTTTGATTGTGACTCATTGGGTTAATCAATCAAGAATATCAGCAGCTATTGTTATAGTGAGGTCACTGGTGGTCAAATTTCAACTTCTGTAAAGCCAAATAGTATGAATCAGTGTTGTTCGCAGAACTGATTGCACGGCTGAGCCACTCCACCTTCTTGGACAGGGTGTTGACAGGTCCCCAGTGTGTGACGCTTGTACAGGAAGTCACATCTGCTGTGAACTCCAGCGTCCCACAGCCAAGTCCTACTTGGAAATCAGTGCTCCACGCGGCTACCCCCTACCTTTCTGTAGATTTTACATTCTCCCCACCCCATCTTCCACAATGTTCCCTGTACTCTGAAGGGGATGGTAGAGTTACAGCTGGGCGTCCAACAGTCATTTTTTATCTGAACTTTGACCTGTTAGGAGTTTTTGCAGCCTCTGCTAGTCACGGCCAGATGAAGACTCTCTGGCCAGAGCTGGTAGCCGTCACATTCTATGGGCACAAACATAGTAGAAGGAAACTAGGTGGGCACATCATGTCCATTTAGAAGAAAAAGAAAAGACCTGTAGAAACTTTCTCAAATGCCCTCAACAGCCACAGGCTTTTGACTCGGTCTACAGCACCAGAGGTGAATTTCCTCTTAGGGACCCGGCACCAAATCCAAATCAGAGAGTGGTTGGTTACCCCCATACCAAACCTGACGCATTGCACCAGTAGGCTCACCTTGAACAAGGGGTACATAGCTGAGTGAGACTTAATGAGACAACTCTGCCTCAGCAGCCTGCATAGCACCTTCTGGAATTCTGGGGGCTGTCCAGCAGGGAGAAAATTTCCAGTTCCAGCTTGAACTTTCTCTGTCCTGTGACCAAGGCATGTGACGCTCTCATCAATAGGGTCTTACCATCTAGTTCTGATGGACAAATAACATCCCGGACAGTTGCCTGTGTTATTGTGGGCTCTGCACGGTCATCCATGACTAGCAGCTCCTCAGAGGGAGGCAGCCCATGGCCGGCGCTGAGACAGGGACTGAGATTTTCATTTAATAATGAATGACGCTTTATCCACTCATACAGCGTGGATTCACTCTTTTTTAAAAGTTTATCATTTGGTTAGCTTACCAAGCATATTTCTTTATGGCTTTTTCACATATTGTGACTGAGGTTGACCCTCTTCATCCCTCCTCATTCCCATCTCTTGACTTCCCCATGAAAACTTTTCCACCCAAGTATTCCCCCTCTACTTTCACATCACTTTTATTCTTCAACACACACACACACACACACACACACACACACACACAAATGCACACACACATACATACACACCACCACACATATAAACACATATATACAATCACATACACACACACAAACAGAAGCACACACAAAATTTGACTTGTCTTCTGGGCAGGGGATGTCTTCAGTTTTGATTATGGATCTTTATCTGAAAGAAATCTAGTTGTTTCTAATAGTTTATGTCTATGATTCCAGAGATTGAGAAACTAAAGCAGGAGAATTGCTTGGAGTTTGAATCTAGCCTGGATTGCACAGCACAACTCTGTTTCAAAAGGTAAACAAGCCAGGCTGTGGTAGCATACACCTTTAGTTCCAGCTTAGGCAGGTGGATCTCTGTGAGTTTGAGGTAAGCCTAGTCTACAGAGTGAGTTCCAGGACAGCTAGATAAACTAACTGGTTTTAGAAAAAAGAAGACAGAAGAAGAAGAAGAAGAAGAAGAAGAAGAAGAAGAAGAAGAAGAAG